AAAAATATCTTTAACCCCATTACTTTCAATTTAGCTTCGGTAGAGGTTAATTTTAGCAAAAAAAAAAAAAAAAAAAAAAGAAAAGAGAAAGGAAAATCTAACGAATCTCCAAAATCGATATCCTTCGCACGTTCGTCGAAAAATTTTCGAAAGCGGAGAAAAAAGGGAATGAGAGAGCACAGAAGAAGAATTCTGGAATCAATCAAGGCTACTGGAACTTCCTTCGCAATCATCGCTTAACGTATAGAATGTAGAAAGTTTCAAAGTTTGCAGGACCAATCGTGTGACGGATCGAAGCCCGGCAGACGATAACACTGGTGCTGGGACCCGGCGCGATTTCCCGGATCCCGATACGGCGAACTTTGGCCAGGAGAGGGTGAAAACTTCCCTCTGCAGCTGCATCAGCCTCTTCTTCACCGCCTCTCTTTCTCTCTGTCTCTTCTCTCGCGATATTAGCCGCGATATATCCCTTGGATCCCGATACGTCAAAGGTTTCGAAAGGAGCAGCTTATTTCGGGAACACACGCCTCCCCTCTCCTCTTCTCTCGGCCGCGCGATTCCGCTGGCGAGGCGGAATCAAGCGGAGTTGCTAGTTTCTCGAGTTCCTCGAGATCCTCTCGCATTCCTTGGCTCTGTTTCCACGCGTGTGGATTCCACGCTTCTGTTTAAGCCAGGAATGGCGGCGGAGGAAAGGCTAGGATAAATTAAGGATAGGTTAAGGTTTGTTCGTTCTTTTAAATAGGCTACTTTTGTCCAAATGCTCGACTCGAAGAGTCACGAAATTCAGAGAGAAGAAGCGCGTGCGTCTTTATAAATATTGTGGATGGCGAGATGCCTTTTCTTTTTGTTTTTTTTTTTAAACGTCGAGCTATATACGTTATCGCATAATGAGTAGCGTGGCGGTATATTAAATTTTAATATATCCTCATTGTGCTCGTCTTTCTAACGCGCGAGAATATTACATCGTATGAAATTATTTTGGAATTACAAGAATAATCCTAATTCGTTGATGGAAGCGTGATTAAAACGCGTGATTAAAGGGCTGCATTTAAGTTAACGAAGAAATACGCCTTTACTCGTCTGAGAGTAAATCGAAAAGGTTCATCGCGTGCGAAAGTACAAATTTCAATCGGTTACAGTTGGTCGAAGCCGATCCTGCTGCGGTTTTCAGGTTAAAAACGGATGATCTTCACTCGTTGTAATTGCGCGTTTCGAATCCCGAGATGTTTGCAATCAAATTTTTCAATCTCAACGGGGCGATACTAATATTTCACGAGAGAGGAGGAAGCCAGCGATCTGAGGATCCAATTTACGCGGAATCGGGATGAAATGGATGAACCGTGATTCGTTGACTCTGCCAAACTAGACTGTGCGTCGAACGAACAAATATAATCTATTTAATCGACTTGCTCGATGAAATTTTGCAATCCCTTATCGAGGCAATTTTTCGAACGAACGAAATTATCCAGATGTTAAATTAACCTGAGAGAATATTAACTACGATTCGACTAAAATTTATTTTCTAATAAGTTAGTTAAGTATAGACTAGCGATTTCCTTAAGGAAATTCCTAATTTTTAAAATCTTCTTCCGACTCGACTCTCCGAAATTTGAATATTTTCATTCTAGTCCCTTCTGAACTTTTTTACTTAAATTTGTAACGAACTTTTGCTCGCCAACTCGCTCCAACTTTTCAAAAGTTTTCCCAGGAAAAAGGAAGGAGGAGGGGGGGGGGGTGAAAGTTGTCGATAACGCCCCGTGGTAAAAATTCGACGCGAGTAACTCGACGATACGATTCACGGTCGAGAAGGACAGCGAAAAACGGCCTGCTCGTGTTTTCAGGAGTACCATACGCGGAACCTCCGGTCAATTTCTTGAGATTCTCGCCACCGAGGTCGCCGGAGCCGTGGCGTGGCACGAGGGAGTCGCAGGAATTCGCACCCGTTTGCCCCCAAGTGGTGCCGAAATTGCAGGACGAGATGAAGCCGGTCAGATACGAGTATCTGGAGAGGCTACTGCCTTACCTGAAGAACCAGAGCGAGGACTGCCTCTATCTTAACATCTACGCGCCCCATCAACCCGAAGGTAAGCGGACTAAGATTAATTGTTTCGAAGATCGGTGACAGTTCGAGATCGAGTTTCCGCTCGATGGTTGGGGAGAAGCATCCACTGGGTTCAACGACGACTCGTTCTATCGATCAACCCTGTTAATGCAGTTTGTTACGATCGCTTGGAAAATAGACGGGAGTATCTCGACGTTGAAAATAAATACGATGAAATCGTATCCGCGCTCCCACGAGTAAATCGCAATGCACCAGGAAAATCAAATAGATTTCTTGAATCGTAACGATTAAGGAACTCTTTGCTTACGTAATGGAAAATCTAGCAAAAATTGTTGTTGTTTAAAATTAAATATATCAAAAGAGAAGAAAACGAAAAATTGTAGAGTACTTTCTTTAAATGAATTAAGAGATTATGTGTATAAATAAGAGGAATGTTGAGAAATTTCGCTCGTATCCTATGGTTAATCAAGTATTAAAATGTCACGTCAAACGGGGATCTGTATAAAATTTACGATCGCGAAGAATATATTTCTCTCTTTACGATCCTCGTATCGTGGCTGTTCGATGCTAATGCTAAAGAAGGATTCGTGACCGATAATACCGTGGACTGGGTGAATATTTAGATTGCGAAAAAGATAAAAAGAAGGGAGAGAAATTCGTAGCTGTAAACAGGCGTGATCCAAAGCCGTTTTATTCTTGACTCTCTGCCAGGAAAATAAGAGGGGCGGAGTGTTCTACGGAGCGAGAACCTTTACCTAAAAGACAATTAGAGAACAGGATACTTTTAGCCGCGTTTCATCTACTTTCCGTGTAGCCCAATTCCGTGTTTAACTTTCTTCAAGTCGAGATTTCTGACTTTTGTACACATCCTGTCTTCTTGAATCGTGTTTAATCCGTTCTTGGCAATTAATCTCGGTGAACAAAAACGGTCATCCACCAGTAGATGATATGGATATTAAAAAAAAAGAAAAAATCGCAAAACCTTGCTAATTGCAGATTCGTTCTAAACGAAAGTTAAACGATATATAACGTTATTATTAATTTTTAAAACTCGTATTTTCAAATCATCAGAGAGAATTTTTCACGGCTAGAAACGCGTTCTCATATATTTCGAATACCTTGCTTCGATATCGAATATCTCCAAAATTCCAGATGGATAATCCAAACTTAATCAAAGCCAGATTTCAATTCGCTTCTTTCTCGTCCTTTTGTACGAATTTTTTTTTTTTCTTCTAATTTTATCTCCCCTTTCTTGATTGCGATACATTCATGTTTTTTCGATTTATTAAAGTTTATTAAAAAAGTGGAAAAAAAAAAGAAGAAAATAAAAAAATGGAATAGAGAGTCAAGTCCACGAGATTTCTGCCGATTCAATCACGGTTCCCAGGGATTGGCCCAGTGCGGTTGGTTACGCGAAATACGCGCATACGAACGACACCTTTTGTCGACAATTTTGTTCCATTCACGAGCGTGATAGATGCATCAAATGCACGCGTTGTTTTCCCCGAAATGAATCGAACGTGCACGCGTAACGTTTTATTCGGCTACATTTCACGATCCGTATATATCCGTATTATCATGCGAAACGACGATTTGATCGTTAACTGTCCTCGATAAATAATAATATTCAATTTTTCCGGAAATCCAACCTCCCATTAGATGCGCGATATTAGAATTTACGATAAAGGAAGTTGATCGTTTCGCTTTGAACTTCGTATTGGATTCCCCCGCGATTCCTTTCTTGAAGTTGAACGTTCTTTGTCGCAGTGTCATGGGTATGCATCGGAGGACGCATTATCGATAAGAAATATTTGAAAAGCTTTGCTCGAAAGAAATCCTGAATTCGATTGTTATCGAATATATATGTTTGTGCGTGGAGTAAGAGAGACGATGGAAGGAAATTTAAAGAAGCGTAGAAGTAGAAGTTTGTTTATAAAAGAATTTTAGTTAGTCGAATTTTAATTTTATTTTATTTACACGTTTCTGCATTGTTAAAATATAATTTGAAATACACATGTTGTGTATTAATTATTCGAATTTATTAGTTGGAATTTAGTAGTATTCTATTACGAAATAATTACGAATTAATTTATGAAATATTTCATTATTAATACGTTGCAAATTTATTTTCAAATTTCGACCATTTGAAACATCATTAAATATTTACGATCAAACTATTCGCTGACGAAAAATAACCGAAGAGGAAAATTAAAAAATTAATCCCAAATACGGGCAGCATGTATAAATAATATGGCGTAAATTCTATGATTAACTAGGAAAAGAAAGCGCATTTCCACGAATCCAAGCCAAAAGAGACGAATATATTTAACCGCGAATCGACAAACGCGAAAGAACGAAGGTTGACATAACGCGTACAATTGCGTGCTCGATAGCTCGTGTTCGTGCTTCCCTACTTTTCCTACTTGGCCGAAGCTAATTAAAAGTAATCTTGCGCGTTTGCGACGAGCCGTTAATTAAGGGAGGAAAAAACGCGGAAGCCACGGCACCCGATTATCCCCCCCGGGGATTACTAGAGATTTTCTTTCTCTCCGTTCCTCTATCAACGTCATTGTTTCGCTCCTCTAAATTCACCTCGCTCCTTCCTTTCGGTAAAAATTAACCGAAGATAAGACATCTCTCGTGGACAAATATTTATTGTCCGTTTGCGCCGTCAACTCCTTTTTCTTTCTCTACGAACGAAAGATAATAAGAGTGATTATCCGACGATTTATACATACATGTGTCCCGTCTCGTTTTAAAATTCGTCAAAAATTTTTCTCGATGCCATAATTATTCGTGGAAGATCGGATCTGTTTAGAGTGTAATCGATTGGCTAGGGATAAATTAACCTGTAGAATAAGGTGGCAATCGAAGTCGGCGAGGCTAAATAATTTTTCAAATCCAAAGCGAAACATATTTATCAACCGGAAGAAAGATTATCACGTCCGACGACGTTACACATATATGTATCTCACCTCGTTTCAAAATTCGTCAAAATTTTTCTCGATGCCAAAAATATTCGTGAAGATCGGATCTGTTTAGAGTCTAATCGATTGGCTAGGGATAAATTAACCTGTAGAATAAGATGGCAATCGAAGGGGAAGTGTCGGCTAAATAATTTTCCAAATCCAAAACGAAACATATTTATCAACCGTTCCGGAAGAAAGATTCGGAGAGGTGGAGTAGTTTCGTAATAAGGGGTCATAAATTATACCGGTTATCTGTCCCAGTCAGGGGCTAATGAACGCGAGATCGGACTCCTCGCGATTTTAAAGAGCCCCAAATTTGACTTGGAAATTATCCATCTCCACATTTGTTTCCGCCTCCCCCCGGTGAAACGTGGTTTGCTAAGGGAATTCTTCGATGATCGATAATTTCGAATATTTCCGTCGTGCTATAAAAATAAAAAAAGAGAAAAAAATTCTTCGATAAATCGTTTCGAATATTTGAATACGATTTCTATTTACGATTTTCATCTTTGTATATCGAAGGCGGGCGGAAAGAAGCAAAAGAAGAAATAAGCTCCATAGAGATCGTTTGGAGAAAATACGAAAAGGCCGATGAAAGATGCGGCACCGTTGCAAATAAATTGGAACCGTCCGGCCACGGGTTAGAGAGTCTGTTCTTGGGAAGATATATACGCCCTCTTAAATACTAGAAGCGATGCTGGACTGGAAAGGGTGGCGGGAGAAAGCCGCTTTGAAAGAGCCGGGCTCGCGTCTCGCCGATAGGGCACCCCGCGCTCCTTGAAAATATCGGGAAATTCATTAATGCCCGATCCGCGGCCCCTGGTCAAATAAATTTTATCGGTCGGATGAAATTTACAACGACACCGGTCTTGGTAACCCTGCTGCTGCTGCCGCCGCTTTTTCTTCCCGATTTTCTTGTGTCATCGGAACGCTGCGCTCCTTGTTCCGACTTTCTGCTTCGCGAAACGATTCCTTTAAAGAGATATATCGTATAATATGTGTAAACATAACTCGTCGATTTCATTACCCTCAACGTATATCTTCTTTATGGATCTGCTTTTTTCGGTGTAAATAAATAATTACCGAAAAATATGACACTCTTCTGATATAATTTATCGAAATAATATCTGTACATAGATATTTATACGGAACGGAAATCAGAAAGAATGAAAAAGAAAAAAAAGGAAAAAAAAAATTCCCAGTCAAATTTCCTTTTGACATCAGAATCTAGCTGCATTTCAAAAAATAAACGAACCATGCGAATCACGTTCGGTCCACGTTTGGTTCGTACACCGTCCGATATCTCTCCATTTTTTTCCCCCCATTTTTTCACTTCATCGATGTAATGATTAGCGAGCATTTCGGGATAGAAGGTGGGACAACGTCACTGCTGGTTTTTTCCACGCGAATTTCGCACACGATCCACGATCCCGTCCGCTCACGTTCCCGCTTTAACCGGCAACGAAAGATACTAATTTTTACGCGTAACTTCGTTCCGTGCCGACACGGTCTTGATCCCCGAACCACGTATCCGCGCTCTCCACCCACGTCCCGGGGTTCGGAGTTCCTTTCGCGTATGGAAACGCATTATCCACCGTCAAACGCTATCCCACGTAGGGATCACGCTGGCGGAATAGTAAAAATTTCAATTCCATACCACGTCAACAGGTATTAGCGATCACGTTTCTGTCCCCCCGTTCGTTTGTCAAACAAGTTTCATCAAATATTTTTGATTTAACCAACGATTCTTTGGTCATTTCTCTGAGATCAATTCGTTCATTCGACAACAGTTTATCTCTTTATCATCTTATGTAATAATTTCGTTTCTTCAAGGACTTTTCTTCTTCAAACTATAGCGTAAGATTTGCTCGTGCATCTACATAACGATATAAAAATTAGCGATCAGAGCTGAAAAATATTTCGCCCAATTATAGAAGGAAGTTTCATTTTCGCAGATAAATTTTTTAGCGAAGCGAGAAAGACCAAAATATTTCGGATAAAAAATGTTTTTCGACAGTCTTATCGTTTCCGCGACGTAACATCGAAGGAATAAAGGAAAGAAGGCGGTTTCCCATTCCTGGTTGATACGATTCTCGTTTCGTCGTGGGAGCCTAACGAAAAAGGAGGCCGAGGTAAGAAGTTGGCGGGGAATTGTTGTCAGGTGCGCGAGCGGAAACACGTCGATCCGCTCGATTCCCTTCACGTTCACGGATTTCCGTCGAATTCAATTTTCTTCGTTGG